GAAGCGCTTCTCGGATGGCAGCGTCTCGCCGCGGGCGAGCGCCTCGCGCTCGCGATCCTGCGCCTCGCGCACTGATCGGAACCTGGCAACGGCAAGCAGTTCAGGGAGCGGCCGGCAGCCGCTGGGGAGAGCCCGCGATAGGGTGAGGTCAACTTATGTGCTTATATCTAAACCATTGTCACATTGTCTCTGCCTTCGGAATTTGAATGTACTTGGTCTCACCCCTTTCCTTTTCTTTTTACATTCATTTTTTTCCACAACATTAATGCAGTATTTTAGCGATCACCACCGAACGCTCCGAAACTAATAGAAATGAACTTAGAGTACAGTGAGTGACGACCTCACATGTGGACGCCGATCATCCACTTACCTGCGGGCGCCCATCACCCACACACCTGTGGACGCCGATCATCCACTCATCTGTGGACGCCGATCATCCACTCACCTGTGGACGCCGATCATCCACTCACCTGTGGACGCCGATCATCCACTCATCTGTGGGCACTCACCTGCGGGGCGCCGCTATCCACTCACCTGTGGACGCCGATCATCCACTCATCTGTGGGCACTGATCATCCACTCATCTGTGGGCACTCACCTGCGGGCGCCGCTATCCACTCACCTGTGGACGCCCATCATCCACTCATCTGTGGACGCCGATCATCCACTCACCTGCGGGCGCCGCTATCCACTAACCTGTGGACGCCGATCATCCACTCATCTGTGGGCACTCACCTGCGGGCGCCGCTATCCACTCACCTGTGGACGCCCATCATCCACTTACCTGCGGGCGCCCATCATCCACACACCTGTGGACGCCGATCATCCACTCATCTGTGGACGCCGATCATCCACTCACCTGCGGGCGCCGCCATCCACTCACCTGTGGACGCCGATCATCCACTCATCTGTGGGCACTCACCTGCGGGCGCCGCTATCCACTCACCTGTGGACGCCGATCATCCACTCATCTGTGGGCACTGATCATCCACTCATCTGTGGGCACTCACCTGTGGACGCCCATCATCCACTCATCTGTGGACGCCGATCATCCACTCACCTGCGGGCGCCGCTATCCACTCACCTGTGGACGCCGATCATCCACTCATCTGTGGGCACTCACCTGCGGGCGCCGCTATCCACTCACCTGTGGACGCCCATCATCCACTCATCTGTGGGCACTGATCATCCACTCATCTGTGGGCACTCACCTGCGGGCGCCGATCATCAACTCATTTGCGAGCGCTAATCACCCACTCACCTGCGGCCTCGCTGCTGGTTCATCTTTGCGCGCGGCGCCACTCCATCCACAGCCATGAAGAACACCTTTTTGGGTCTGATCATCCGAAAAAGCACCTGCATACAAAAGCACGCTACTACACCCGCCATGGGCGTGTGTATGCATACACACATTCATTTGACACATATGCACATCAATTCTCAAGCCGGCCAGATATTCAGAGCAGCATGTAACAGGGTTGTATGTTGGAGACAGGCCTCCACTAATGTACAATAATTGTGTCATTTCTGGATCAACCCACAACCAGCCAATCATTTCCTCTCATCAGTGTGTCATCACACTTTGTACCTGTTAAGTCAATGCTTACAATAGTACACAACACATGTCATGTATCACTCGTGGTGCTGTGGCACTCTCTGTGTGTGAGATTAATTACAGGTTTGTTGCCAGGGTACACCTGATCCTAAAGGAACTAGAAGCAAGGAATATAGCTGTGACCCCTAAATGAATGATTGCCAACATTAGCACATAACACAGCTATGGTAAAACAAATTAAAGACACTGTTTGGCAACTAATCCAATGAGCAGACCTGACCTGTGAGACCTGGGGTTAAGACAAAACCAAAATCAAAAGGGGGGACACTCTTCTCGGTCTTCACCCCACCCAGCATACTGGTTCAGGGCTGTGAGGTCTTCTGACATGGAAATGATGCACCAAATTAGTGATCAAACAGAACTGATCCCACTGGTTACCATGCATTGCAAAACTATGAACAAAACTGGGCAATTTTAATACTAAATTTATTCAAAATGGTTCACATGGATGGTTTTGGACTTAGAGCACCTGCTATGCATGCCTTATTGCATGCACCCTGAAACCGCCACCCAAGTTGCATTGACCAGTTCAACAGATATTTTGCCTCCATCCTTTCACCAGGCAAGAACGTGGAGGGCTTTACACTCCACACAGGGCTGTGGCACAGCTCTTCCAGCCCTATGTTGACCCCCACTCAGCCAGATGACCTTTCCATTTTAGTCAGACCAAACAATGTGCCCATTCTGTGACTCATACCCAGTAATGCTACATTGTAAATTCAGCTTCTTTCCCATTGACCACCAACATGGCAGGGTGGGGATGATCATGAGTGGCTGGCAGGGATTACTCTTACATGCACAGGTACTGATCTTTTTACATTACAGAATCATGAGATCAAGTTTTACAGTGTTTAATAACTAATATCAATTTTTTGTTTCATTTATCAATGAAGGGTAGAACAATCAGAAGACAAATGAGAAAATTTGATGGAGAAAGCACAATCCCAAAGCATTTCTTTCCATATCATTGAGAGCTTGGCAGTGTCATATCAGCATGAGACCATCAACTTACCTCAATATAATGAAAAATATTCTGGAAAATAGCCTCCTCGGTGATGCGAAAATGTGGGTTTGAGTCATCAGGATGAGAACATGGATGAATGATGCCATTCATGTCCAGGTACAGGTTGTCAAACTCTGGGATCTGAAAATCCAGCACAAGTTATTGCAGGTGCTTCAAAGACATCTAACACTTCATACATATGCTGTTAGGGCAAATAGCATCAGACATCATCAACATTTGTACCTTACACTGCAAGAACACATTCTACATCCATTGATATTATTATGACATGAAGTACCAAAAATAATCATAAAACAGATAAGCCTTGGGAATATCTTACCACCATACCTTCAAACTCTATCAATCATGATAATAATTGCAGATGTCGGTCTGTTACACTGGTAGCACAATGCTGACACATTTAGGCCTCCCACCAGTAGAAGGTTGGCATGTACTTTTCATAGGGGAGCTTTTGTGTACTGGTCATTGATCAGTCAAGGTGGCTTAATATGACACCTTAATGTAGTAGAAAATAATGTAGCAATATGATGTTGCACACCTCTACATATCAAACAGGACAGTGATGAGTTGTAGGAGGCTGTATGGGTTGTAGATGGGAATGACAAACATGATAAGTAGGAGTAGGCATAGGGGTAGGAGAAGGGTAGAGTGGAAATGGAAGTGGAAGTGGGAGTGGGAGCAGGGAGCAGGGCGGGGGGTGGTGGATGGGATGGGGGATGGGGATGGGGATGGGGATGGGGATGGGGATGGGATGGGGATGGGGCTGGGGCTGGGGGCTGGGGCTGGGAGTGGGAGTGGGAGCGGGAGGCGGGAGCGGGGTATGGGTGAGAGTGGGCATTGGGGTGGGGTAGGTCCACATCAGTTAGGTTAGGTTTAGTTAGCTGTGTACAATTATATACTGGGCAGCTTCAAAAACATATTTTGAGTATCTGAATATGTCCAAATTAGGTACTATATCAACTTGATCAAATGCCAATATGCAAAAGTTGCATCTTGAATAGAAGAAATAGCCCTCAGCTCCACCTCAAATTGGAAGCTGGCCCTGATCCACTGGGATGGCATTGATGCACCCTCAGCTCCACCTTAAATTGGAAGCTGGCCCTGATCCACTGGGATGGCATTGATGCACCCTCAGCTCCACCTTGAATTGGAAGCTGACCCTGATCCATTGGGATGGCATTAACTCACCAGTATTATACCATTAGTGTCATAGGCCAATGTCTTCTGTTGCTATTATAATCATGGTGTATATATAATAAGATCATAACTTATGAATATGTCATGGTTTTTCTGCCTTAAAGAATTAATTAATGTACAAGGTGCTCTGCACTCCACACTCCCACTTCCACTCCCACTCCCACAAGGGATGTACAAATCACCAACTTGACCCCTATACCTGATACTAAGACAAACATCAACATGCATCCCTGCAGATAGGCATCTAGTTTGGCAAGCACCATTTGTAATAGGAATGCTAATCTAAATGACCAATACAGCCCTAGCAACACATTTTATCACATTTGTCCAGCTATACCCAGGGACTTCTACACATTTGCACACAAAAGGGCGTGTATCATGGTAATAAACAGTCATTCCTGAGCACAGATTGACACTGCCAAGTAATTATAATCAGCAATCATATCAAACTGGACAAAAAAGCAAGCATGCCTAAATGTGATAAGCATCCCTTCCAATGCAGTACACACCTGATAATCCTTGACCACCTCACTCAAGCAGGGATATCTTTGAGACATCCATCTAAAAAATTTGGGAACACCCATGCTTAAAGCTTGTCTATTTGGACGGTGTTGCACTTGTGTGATGACACGCTTAAGTCCCTGGACTTGGTTTACTTCACAGCTGCCGTACTGCTGCCTTTAGATGAGACCCCCACAGTTAAAATAACCGATGAATTGGGCGACTTGCACACTTGTTGCGTACTTGTCTTCTTGTTTCTTAATTCCAATCACTTGGTTCCACGGGACGATCGCAAATCCGCGCTCGCACCACCGCCCCCACTCGCACACACGAGCCCTGCAACCGCAAAGCCCCGCACAAGCCACGGCGCTTCCCTTGCTGCGCTACGAATGCAAAGAATGCCTGTTTCGTCACATTGCGCCCCTAAAGCTCGAAGCTGATGTTGAAGCATATGGTCTACCACTTTTCACCAATAATATTCGTTCTTCAAGAATCCACCCAATCACAACGCTGTATTGCCCCAAAACTGTTCTGTTTGATCTATCACTTCGAACTTCTACCAGCCGCACACCCAGGACACTGAATACAAATATGGCGTCCCCCAAGGGGGCCGTTCATATTGGATCCGCGTGGATTCAAAAGAGAATCAAGCTTAGGCCCAAAAAAGAGGCATCCATTTGGTGACAGATGAAATTTTGAGGCATTTGCCAGAGATTAAAAAGTTTTCAGTAGGGCTATGTCACGTTCAGAGTGAGTGAAAATGCTTTTCTTACTGCGTCTCAATTGTCTGGTCTTGCTATCGCATCAAACACTGCCATGAATTTTCCGCTTACTACCTTGGGAGGTCCATCTTAGCATGTAGCAGGCCCATTATGCAATGTATGCAGTGTGAAAATTACATGGACATTTATAAGGCATGTAACAGACACTGACATGCATACTGTTGCCATGCCATATATGCTATATATACATGGTCCAGTTTGCAAACCAGGGCAAACATGCCAGCAAGATGTTTAGGGCAGATGGAATATTGTTAGAATAGGACAGTAAGCTTTCCGATTGGAGGCAGATTTTTTGACCATGCATGTCACCCATAAATATGGTGTGTCATCAGATTTGGTCCTTGACTACAGTGCTACCTGTTTTTGTATGCTGTGGGCGCATGATGCTCTTAACGTGCCAGTCCAGTGGCTTCTTCTGTGGATATTAATGACTTACCTCAAATAGGGATGTGTGCCCCACCCATACCCAAACTACATGTTGTTGAAATCTGCCATGGTTTGGACCAGGGCATGTCACTCAGCCTCCTGAGAGTATGTTCTCGAGTGTAGGTCAGTGCTTCCTGGTATGCAAATGTGAAAGATAAATGTAACCTGCTTTAAGGTCCTATTATGTGTGTGCATGTAGCCAGTCTGTTGCATGTAATGCATGGTTTTTATTGATGTAGGTAAGATGCCAATTTTAGTTAGGGTTACAACTTTTTGTCACACATCAGCCACACTTGCACTGCTCTTTGTTACTGCCCAAAAGCAATAACTAATGAATGCACTTGGTTGTGATATGTTTGGATGACATAGATTGGGAAGCAGACACTCTGACGGATGGAGTGACTATGGGCACACATTGACCTGAGGTTAGTGCTAAAAATTCATCCACTGTAGCAGGTGCCTTCCTGACATATGTGTGCCAAACCTTCTGCTTATGTGAGCCAAGCACAGGCTAAGCCAAAGTTTGCTGAATGTTTAATTTTTAATGTGTCACTAACTTCCTTTGCATCATCATGACTCTCTGGAGCATTGGCTCTATGTACTTAACTTGGCGGTGACCATGCACCCAACTTTGACCACTCAGATGTATGGCATACTTGCTCTGAAGTTGTTGTGGTGATGTCTGCTCTACTTTGAAATAGGTGCTCAGCATAATGTGCATCTCTTTGCAGTGTAGAGAAGGGGTGGACAGCATATAACATTTAAAACATATGCTCTTCAAAACATTTCTGTTGAGTATTGCATATAGTAAGCTGAAGTCCTATGATTTTTTTTGTACAAAATTGTCTGTGTCTTTTTGGGGATTAAGTGTCCAACTGTTTGAAATAGTTGTACAGAATGGACACTGAGTGGAGCACAACATTCCCTTCTTCCTACAAAGGATCCACCTTTGCCCAGTGTCCTTGCTGCCATACAAGCCATTTGAGCATGTAATTTTTTGAGTGGCAACAGAGCCCTTACTGTGTATGAGTGTCATTGCTCCCCCATCAGTATCCTGGAATAAGTGCAATAAGTTTGGCAATGTAGTATGCCAAACTTGGTACATTGATAACCTTGCAGTGTGTAAAAAAAAAGGAAAAAGTTGTATTCATTGAGCACATGAATAAGTATGTGTGGTGCTGCCTGGTCCACAGGCATGTTCCCAAGTTACCAATATTGTCCACCCAGAGCAAGCTGAGGTATAGAATGGTACAACCCACACAATAATTATCAGATGGCTTAGCTTATGTTTTTGCCTCCAACTGTAGGCCTTTTTGCGGTTTGTGAATATTGTAACATCAGTGAATGAATCCATGATGTCTGATATTTGGCTATTGCTTGTAGTCTCATTCAGGTTCAGAGACCAAAGAGGTGGTAGATTTATTACTGCTGTCTTTAAATGAAACTTTTAAATGACACATGATATCCTTTTCCAGTACTACACACATCAGCAAGTTTGTCATTGAATGAAAATTGGGATCCAAATGTTCGCGTGGATATGGAGACCATGCTTAACAAAATAGTGCCTGAGGTAATGTATCTGATTCCTCTCCACCTCTGTGAGTGATTGGCAGGAGGTGCTTGGAAAAGCAGGCTTTGTTGGTGGGATTTCTGATACCATGCAATGGCTTAAGTATGATGTGTAATGACAATACATTTTTAAAGAAAGTGAATATGTATTAAAAGCCACATGTTGCACTTTGCCATTGTGTGGCAGGCATCATGGTGTTTCAGGCACTTCTGTTTTGAATTAAGAGCAAGTTATTGTGTCACTTCATGTGCTGCAGCCACATGTGCAGGTGGAGCTCATTGGTTCCATCATGCTGATGATGCCAATTATAGCCCCATAAAGGGATAATATGGAAGCATTCTTGGTGTCTTTTATCTTGCCTGGAGGCTTTTCTTTTGTCTAGCATCATCCCTCAAATGTTTGGTGAGTTTGAAGTGAGCATCCCATGTTGTCAGAGATGCTGTGTCATTGTTTGATAACTCATTCATAAGGTCATGGAAAGGGTCACAATGTTTGTAGCTGTTGTCCATCAACAGGAAATGTGCAATGGAGCTACAAATGGCTCTATTATCCTCACTGGGCAAGGTGTGACAGGTCTTGACTGAATGCAACTAAGAAGCGGTTTTGTTTCAGAACCTCCCATACAAGCACTGCGCCGAAGGTCCTGACGATATGGTATGTTGGTCTGTACTCGTGTACTCGTTAGTGCCCACCGCTGTGTAGAAAGAATACTGGTGTTAACCGATTCGGTACAGGAAAAACGGCGTGTCGTATGTAGGGTACATCTTCATCAGCATAGACCCAGTAGTTCTAGTTCATGGTAGTTATTTGTGTCCAATACCTGAAGTACGCCCAGTATATCTGAAGTCATTGGTGCATTGAAGCTCCCTTCGCAGAGATATTCGAAACCCCGGCGTATTTTGTGCCGAACCTATATTGAGATATCCGGTAGCCGCCGGTGTTGTAGTTGTATTACGTACCCACCTGTTTTTCCACAGCCAGCGCATGTAAAAGCATGCTTTTCTGGGCTCTTCGCTGACGGTTCCTATCACCGATGGCCGATTACATGTAGGAACGTGGCATGGTACGCTCTCCGTGATGTCCGTATGTCACAGAGCCTCACTACGTCTTCGTGCAGTGTGCTGGAATTCTAAGCTAAGGCAACCGATTCCCAGAAGTCAGCGAAAGCGCTGATGTTGTCAGCCGCTGTTCGCTGGCGGCCGGGTTTAGTGAAGCAGGCGCGTTGTTGGGAATAAACGCCAGTTTCGAAATTGTTCCTTCGTACGCTTGAGCATATTTTTATGGCTGATATAAGGTTCTGAAGCGACCCCAACCGCGTCATGATGCCGTGGCTGAGGCAAGCTGCGCATTTGGTGCGTATAAAAACGTAACAGTTTCGGTAACGCGTGTAAGCAGGCCGCGTCGTGTTCTGCTGTGACGTCCGGCGGTTGTATCACGTCAGAGGCAAATGCTCGTGGAATGGTATGCGTAAATCATACCAACCAGTGGATGTTCCCTAAGCGCTTTGAACTGCCGTAGGTCAGCGACCTAACGAAGTACGTCTAAATTGTTTATGCTAAACGATCCGCTATTTCAGTGTCTACAGCTGTGCAAAATTTGTCGCACTACGCCGCGTCGTTCGGAACCCATTCGGACAAACCTTTGGCGGGCGGGGGGGGGGGCAATCTGTCCCCCACCCCCAACCCCACGCGAGTGCGTGCTAACACAATCAGCCATCAAACGTGCATCCTGACGGCCGTTTCGTGCTGTTGTCTCTGTTGCCAGCCGTCCAGCCTTTGTGTGATACAGCGGTATAACCTGACCGTAACGTTATGTATGGTGTTCGCGCCGTTCTTGTCGCGTCGTGACCGTCCACGTCGCCCGCAATGCTGTTGTGCGCCGTTTGTGGCTCGAGTACCCTGCCTGTGATCGTGTCCAGCCCGGCGCCGTCCCATCGCGTGCATATGACCGTGTCCAGCCCGGCAGCGTCCCATCGCGTGTATGCGACCGTGTCCAGCCCGGCAGAGTCCCATCGCGTGCATGTGACCGTGTCCAGCTCGGCAGCGTCCCATCGCGGGCATGTGACCCGTGTCCAGCCCGGCAGCGTCCCATCGCGTGGCATATGACCGTGTCCAGCCCGGCAGCGTCCCATCGCGTGTATGCGACCGTGTCCAGCGTGGCGCTGTCCCACGCGTGCATGTGACCGTGTCCAGCCTGCCAGCGTCCCATCGCGTGCATGTGACCGTGTCCAAGCCCGGCAGCGTCCCATCGCGTACATGTGACCTTGTCCAGACTGGCAGCGTTCCATCGCGTTGCGTGTGACCGTGTCCAGCCGGCAGCGTCCCATCGCGTGCATGTGACCGTGTCCATGCCTGACGCTGTCCCAACGCGTGCATTGACCGTGTCCAGCCTGGCAGCGTCCCATCGCGTGCATGTGACCGTGTCCAGCCTGACGCTGTCCCAACCGCGTGCAGTGACCGTGTCCAGCCTGGCAGCGTTCACATCGCGTGCATGATGACCGGTGTTCAGCTCCGGCAGCGTCCCGTCGCACGCGTATGACAATGTCCAGCCCGGCACCGTTCTCATCGCGCGCGTGTAACGTCGCCGTCGCTGCCCGCCGTCGCCAGGGCATCTGGCTGTGTGAGCACCGGGACGAGGCGGGCGCGCGCAAGCTGGTGGTGACGCTGAACGGCTGCCCGCGCGACGGACCCACGCCCAACTCGCCGCTCTCACCCGCTGGCGTCGACCAACAGCAGCAGATAGGCCCGGCCGGCCCCGCCCCCGCCTCATGAGCCAGCTGATCACGGCGGCCGCGCCGCCCCTCTCCGCCGCCGGTGGCCGGCCGCGCCGCGTCAGCGCGGCTTGGGAGGCGCCCGCCGGCGTCGCCCCCGTGCGCGGAAACGGTGATCTAGTCGCAATGAATTTTATACTGGCGCTTGTTACGTGTGTTGAGGGTGCGCGGGTGGGCCGTGTGGGGCTGATGGATGGTGTGGCCGCTCGGTCGATCTCACGTGCCGCCGCACCGGTGGGGCTCAGCTGGCGCGGCCACCGCCTGCCTGCGCCGGCCGGCCGCTAGTTGCAGCGTCGCCCGCGCGCGGCCGGCGTGCTCCCGCCGCGGACGCGGCCTCGCGTGCGGCGTGCACCCGCGCTCGTCCGCTCCGCTCGTCTTCCAGTCGTGGTCGGGACACGGCGGTCGTGACGCGCGTGCTGTGGGCGGAGTCCGCGCGCCGCCGTCGCTGGCCGGTCTCGGCTCGGCCTGCCTGGGCTGCGGCGTCCCCTGCACAGCGGAGGAGCGGGCCCGAGCGCCGGCCCACGCGGTGTGGCGCCCGCGCGACACTGGCTCCGCCCGGCGCTGGCGACGTCCCCGGCGGCCGCGCCGCCCCGGCGCGCGGGGTGGCGCACTGCCCTCCCCGCCATAGGGAGCGGGGACGCTGGAAGTCGGTCAGATCTTGAGCTTGCTTGTTGTGAAGATACGGTGCGCCACCACCACACGCGTGATGCGCTCAGTGCCGCGCGGCGGCCGTGCTTCGATATTTGCACAGTTCACATAATGTTTATGAGAGTCACGCGTTCAAGTATAGTGCTGGTTCGGGTTAGAAATCAACATAATAATCGTTACTTGATGTTACTTGGTTTGTCACTTTGTTGCCGTCGTGGTCTAAATACGAGGTACAAATGCTGGCCGTTGCCAGCAGAGAGGCAGGCGCCCGGGACTTCTCGTTTACTTTAGCACCGGCGGTGCACCAGCTGATGATCCCTTCCATGAAAGGTGAAACCGCAGAATACACTTGGCAAGTCACGGTTTTTATTCATGTCTGAATAATTGGCGGCCGTGTTGGTCGTGCTTATCACAGAAAGCATGATGCTGAACACTTTTGCTCCGCCGCTACCTGCTCCGCAGCGAGCGCTGGGCAGCGTGGTCGGGTGCTCAGGACACAGCAGTGTGGCCTCGTCGCTCGCCGCCCGTGCGTGTGGCTGTGGCTTCCTGGACCTCGCCTCTGCTGCTGTCGCAGCGCCAGGACCTGCCACCACACGTCAGCCGTGTCCCGGCGTCCGTTGCGCCAATCTCAGAGTTTTGCCACCGTCGTGATCCGCATCCAGTGTCAAGTCTTGTATACTGGCCGCGGTTGTTGACGCCCCCAACTGAGGTGGCGTCGCGACCCGACAGCGTGTATATACAAAACAGACTTCCTGGGGTCATTGTGCAAATCGCGATTGGCCAAATGGCGATCGCGATGGCCGCTTGCAGGCTGTTCTTCCTTTTTCTTGACGCATAGCGCCATGCGCATTGACGACTGTAAGCCACTCAACGGGCAACGGTTCAACACCTTGCCTCCACGTTCCAAAACACGCGGAGGATGCCGCTTTCAAGGATTTAACTGCAGCTTGCCATAGCTGCGTCTCATATGGTCCCATTATAATCGCACCATCGCCTTCCTCATCTTTTGATTATATGCTATCCGCCTTCCGCCGACTTTTTGCCTGGAATAAGGTTTCAACCTGCGCTATTCCTGTACAGTTCATCTTCTGGACTCCTTCGGCCCACCACTTGTTTGCCTGGGTGGCCGTTCTTTTCCCGATTTCCCTTTCCTCTCCCTATTGGTAGGGTGAATCGGACGTCGTGGGTCGACTTCAGGGCGAACTGAATCGACCTCCACCTGTTCGTCTTCACCCGCCGCCGCGGGGGTACGCTACATTTGGCACAGAGGCGTGCGTCGCTGCTGCCAGCAGGCGCAACGCCCACGTGGCGGCGTGCTGCAGAGGCGACTCCTCAGACACTGCTGGTGGCGGCGCCAGGTTTGTCCACTCGGCCCCCATCGGATCAGCCTGAAAATAACATCAGTGAAACCAATTGTACACGCTGCCGACTGCTCGGCGCAGCTTCGTCGACACTGTCTCCGAGCGGCAGGGCATACATCGGGGAAAGACATTTCAAAGACATGCTTGGCATTGTGACATCTGTGGCAGTGACAGACAGTGTGACAGACAGTGGCATTTGTGACAGACGTTTGGAAACATCTGTAGGCCTTTAGCAAACGCCTTTTACCAACCATTCCCGGCGAACAGCAGGAATGCTTTTGAGAAGATTTGCGCGCATCTACGAAAATAGGGCACCGAGCGCATCTCCCACGGCTAACAGTGCCAGCCCGCCGGTCACCAGCCGCGGCCGTGCGATCCCGAAGCGTTCGCTGGCCGCCGGCCCGCCGTCCGCCTGCTTACATGTCCCAGCGGCGAACAGCAAGTACGCGTTGCAGGCGGGCCAGCGCGGCGACCAGCAGCAGCGTGACGGTCAGCCAGCGCTGGGTGACGGCGCCGTGCTGCGCCACCTGCTGCGAGAGCGCCTGCTGGCGCGCCAGCCGCTGCGAGACAGCGTCCAGCTGCTGGCCGAGGCCGCGCACCAGCGTCAGCAGCGGCCGCTCGGGGGCCGGCGCGCAGCGCAAGCCGCCGCTCCAGGCGCACCTCGGCCGGCAGTGTCTGCCAACACACGGGCGGCGGTGTACAGCGCTGCTGCGGCTGCCACGGGCCAGGAGCTGGCGCCGACACGCGGGACCTGGCGCCGACATGCGGGGGCTGGCGCCGACATGCGGGAGCTGGCGCCTGCACACGAGAGCTGGCGCCTACACACGAGGGCTGGCGCTGACACACGGGAGCTGGCGTCCGGGCACGTCAGACGGGACCAAACGGAGGGGGGAGGGGGGCAAATTGAAGCAAAACGCGCTCCGAAGCATCGTAGGCGAGCATAATGCAGATGACTGGACTGAGGGACGTACAGATGGAGGCTATACCAGGGGCGCATCCTTGATTTTCTTATGGGTAGGCAGCCCGAAGCTCAGTGAAAACTCGGCTCAGCATCACGCTGATTTTAGCTTTATGTTAGAAGCATCTATAGTGAGAGGGAAGAGATGAAGGTGTAAGGGGAAGTCGGGGTCCTCCGTTCGCTGCTCGTTTGGGTTGTGTACATAAATAGTAGAGAAATGAATAAAATCTTGTCAGCATTGACGAGACTGTACAGTTTAGAGGGAAGGTCGCTGATACGCGACTGCTTTCGCCGCCCGCCAGTCTGCCTGCGCTGTGCGTACAACTTGGCCACGCGCTGCAACACCTCGAGCTGTGCAGCGCACTCCTACACGAAAGTGGCAGAGATGAAAAGATCACGCAGCATCTCTACAGGTGTTGTCACGTCGCGGCGCCCCACCGCCTCCTCCGCCGGCGACCACCCTACCCTCACAGACGCTGGCCATGGTCGTCGGCGACGACCTGCTGTTGCTGAATGGGCGCCGCCACCAGCAGGAACTTCTCAGCCAGCGCCTGGTGCGCGCCACGCCGGGCGCCAAGCGGTAGCTCGACGCTCACGCGCCGGCCCGGCGCCACCACGCCACACGAGGGCGCACGCGGAACTTCTCGGCTGCCGTCGTCTTCACCTGGAGTCGGCCGCCGTGCGGCGTGTCACGGCACCGGCGGGCGGGCGTGGGGGCAGCACGAGGACTCGCCCGCGAGGACGAGACATGGCGAGGGTACTCGCCTGGAGGACGAGGCCCACGGCGAGGAACTCGCCGGAGGACGGACATGGGCGAGAGGACTCGCCGGAGGGACGAGACACGGCGAGGGTACTCCGTCTGTAGGACCGAGACACGGCGAGGAACTCGCCGGAGGACGAGACATAGGAGAGGCTCGTCTGGAGGACGAGACATGGCGAGGAACTCGCCGGAGGACGAGACATAGCGAGAGGACTCGCCGGAGGACGAGACATGGCAAGGGTACTCGCCTGTAGGACGAGGACACGGCGAGGACTCGCCAGAAGGACAGAGACATGGCGTGAGGACTCGGCAGAAGGACGAGACATTGCGATGGGGTTCTGTTGTGATGTGATGGTTGCATCACGTGTATACACACATCGCATTCAGCCGGTGCGAAGGCTCACGTTCAGCTAATCCTGAGGTAAACACGCTAGCCAATGCCGGACGTTGAGTCTATTTGGCCTTAGAACGTGGCCAAAATTCGTGGGCATGGTAACTAAAAAAATTGTCTGTCCAGGGTGTCGTGCCCGCTTTTGGTAAAACATCACGAACTACATTGTCACTGACGCTCGCTACCACATCTCCCTGCCCGCTTCTGACCACATTCAGTAAGAAAAACTGGGGGGGGGGGGGGGGAGGTCCAGTCAAACCTTGAAGGCTCACCGGGCCGCGGCGAATGTTGCGGCAGCATGAGTGGTCGCCTGACTCGACGGCGTCGCTGGGCGAACTGGATTCTCGTCACCTGGCGAGATCTTCAGCAGGCCGCCTGCAAACGCAAGAGGCTGCTGATGGCCGGCCACCTGCCTGCTGTCGGCTCCCGCCCGCAGTCCGTTCTACCTGCCCCCACTCACTTTCGCCCCCTCTCGGCCGTTTCCCTGTTTCCACCCAGGGCTCTGGCCTGGGAGCCGGAAACACGCAAACGGAACTTGTTCTTTTGAGCGCCGAAGTTTTTGCTATCGCGCTGTTGCTAACATGTATCTACGCCAGTCGGGTGTTTGGAATGACGAAATAAGGTTGATTCCCTCCCAAATTGATCCAACATTACACCAGATGGCGTAAGTGGTATCGGTAATGACATTGAAAGATACGTGTTCGCAGCAGTCAGGTCCTATTTTGTTTGCGTTTCGCAACAATACATAGTGAACGCCGCATCAGGTCCCTGTACTTTGACGCTGCCAGTGATTCCAGTTTTACCAATGATCCAAGTTGGA